AGGACCGTAAAGTTGAAATATAAATATCTCATATATTTTATATAACAATGCGCGAAGTAGGTACTTCGCGCACTGTTTTACTTCGCGCATTGTTTTGGGGAAGGTATTTCATGGTAACGTAGGAAACTGAAAAAAAGTGTCACTTCGCAATTTGTTATCAATGCGCAAACCTTGTCATTTTTTGAGGTTTGTAGAAAAATAATTTTCGGGCATCCATAACGAAGAATTATGTGAAATTGCCATATAACTTTGATGGCCGATATTTCCGAAATAATTCATCGTAATTTGCTGAAATTTGACAGTGACGTTTCTCTATTGAAACTTTGCTAGATGGCACATTATAAAAAAACAGATCCGTACATGTAAAAATTCATGTTTCATTGTTATATCGAGAAAGTTCACTTCGCGATCACTTTTCTGGAAAAAATTCGTCAGATTCAGGAAGATCACATACTTTAACCGGTTCAATGAGAAAATACGTAACAAAAACGTTCGAATGAATTATGTGAATTGATTCTTTGTATATTTTTGTTAGATATAACTCGAATCAAGTGAAATGTTAATTTTGTATACATATTCTAAATAGATATTAAATATGATTATTCGTGACTTCGTTTTTTAAATTTTAAATGAAATAATAATGAGATAGTAGGCCCTGTTTCTCATTGTGTTTTATGATAATAATCCGAACTGATAGGTACCGACTGGTAGAATTAAGGCATCGGGATTTTCATGTGCCCATAAATGGTGATTTATCAAATAAGTTATGCCATCATGCATGAAGTGAGCTTCATTTGTTCTTGACACACTTCTGCAAGTGATAAAGATGTATTTTCTCTTACTTCAATATTCAATATAATGTTCCCCTCGTACAGCTTATACTGCTACGTATTCTTGAATCTGGAAATCTTCTATGGTATTATACATTGCAGCATTTGAATTGTCTTCATGTTCAGCATTTAAAAAATGAAGTGGCATCTTGAGTGCAAGAATATTTCGATTATCAGTGATTATCAACCAACGCCATCATAAAATAAAAAACAGGGGCAATACTCAATACAAATTTATAAAATAGAGTCACCACTAATAATATCTAGAGTTCCTAAATGTACTTGACACTGCTGTTTTGACGTTTTTTGTATATTATAACATGATCTGCTTCAAAATCGTTTGTGGTTATGTTTGATTGTCAGTGCTTGTCATAGTGTCCGTACTCTAATATACAAAAAACGTCAAAACAGCAGTGTCGAGTACATTTAGGAACTCTAATAATATCTACCAAGAATTTCGATCAAAAACTAACATTTCAAATTATCAAAAAATCGGTAATGTGTTTTTTTCTCAATCACTCTCTTCTGTCAATTTCTATCTAACAAAAATGTACAATGCATCCCATTTTGACCGAGACAGCCAGGTATCTCGATTGTTGTTGAAGATAGAACCTTGCGGTTTTCGCGTTCCTGTGCCACTTTTTTGTGAAACTCAAGATGGCCTAATCAGATTTTGCATAACTGTTTCCGTTTATGAGATACAGGGATATTTTGGAATGGAACACCCTGTATTTTATTGGCTCATTAAATTCCAAATTTTTTCCCTTCAAAATGATATACATATGATGTATGAATATGACTAAAAGATTGAATTTTGATAATGGGTTATGGATTTTTCATATAAGAAAAGTTCCAATTAAAGGAATATTTCCTATGATTTTTCCATGGAGAGGACAAAAACAATACTAACACTAATTAACTAACAAAGCAAATAGAAGAGCAAGAGAAAAGTGTTCACAAAGTGAAAATTTTTGATATAACAATAAAACATGAATTTTTCCCAAGTCAGGATCTGGATTTTTTTTTAAATAAAATGCCATCTTGGAAATGGCTGGCCAAAAAAAAATGTTTCATATATCATATATCTGAATAACACCAAAAAAATTTGAGAAGTGATTCTGTGATGAAGATGAATGTGGGTGTTTAGTATAAAATTTCTTGAGAAACCTCTCTCCGGAAAAGTTACACCGCTCTGAAGATTAAAAAAAATGGTTTTCGTTTAAAATTTCCTCGTAAATGCTTGAAAAAAAAACTTGTAGAGATAAAATTATTTTTTATTTTTTCGGAGGGGTGAGACTTTTCCGGAGAAAGATTTTTCAAAAAATGTTATACCAAATACAAATTGATTTTCATAACAGAATCACCCCTTAATTTGTTTCGGTGTTATTCAGATCCACATCAACTTGTCTTGATTTCCCCTATTCACCATTTCGCTATCTGAGTATCCTCATGAAACACCCTGTATAAAATGACATTTTTTTTACAAACAATCTAGTGAGGAGCTTCAACTTCAAATTTCGATATCAAAATATCTGTTTATTTGGGAGATTTTCTTTTTGATACCCACTGATTTTTAGAACCATTAATAAATTTTGAAAACAGAAACTCGAATGGATATGTCAGCGTCAATTAGTGAAATCCGTCATTCCCTGAAATGTCTAGCCATTTCACGTATTGCCGTCAAACAGCATAACAGCGTAACTTCCATTTTCAGCCGTTACTTTGTTTGCCGAAAAGTTGAAGAAGGAAAATATCCTTTCTGCATAGGCATAATAGAGGAGACTAGGTACTTCTTCTAAACACAATCTAACCAAACTAAGCCTAAATGAACCTTCTTCCAAGGAAGTATGTTTTTCGGAAAATTACTTGAGAGAACAAAAGAAACTACTTCCTTCCGTTATTACAGGGAATGCCTGAAACTATGTATTAGGCAAACGGTGTAGGAATGTTAGAGTTACGCTGTTTGCCGGCAATACTTAAAATGACAAGGCATTTCAGGAAATGACGGTTTTCACTGTTTGATGCCGACAGATATATTACAAGGAATGCGAGAATACCATATAATTTAGGGTTATTTCAAGGCTTCCTAATGAAGGTACTTCTTGGTACTACCAGTATATAAAAATGTTGTTACATGATATTGATATAATATTCCTCTTGCAACTTGTCTTCCAACAATACAAGAACAACAAAATAATGTTGTACTTTCAATATTAATTAACATTACTATAACCAACCTCCTTTAGCGTCAATGATCTAGAAACAGCAAGCTGAAACTATATTCAATTCTAAATCCTAAGATCTTGAAATGGTTTCCTGGACTACATGGCTGAAAATAGGCTTGTTTGTCTAAATTTCAAAAAAAGTTCACAAAGAAAAGTTGTTTCTATTCCTATTTTAAATATGTCTCTCGAATTTGAATGTTCTATTACAACTTTTATTTTTTTATATTTTTTTGATTTCAACTGAATATCTGTAACTAATATTAAAGAAAATTAACACACAAAACTATTTCATTCTAGTAGCTTCATCATGTTTCTAACATTCAATCACTAATAATTATCGACAAAAATATGATTTTCTTCAGAATATAATAATACCCACTTCAAATATCTTTCATGTTTGATGCAAAGTTGATGTATCGTCTATCATACAGGAGCAAAATTTATTCAAATTCATTTTTTCAGAACTTGAATGATGCCAAGTTTGACTAAAGTGATCTATCAAAATATCATCAAACTACTTTACAGAACTAACTGAAGTTTAGGCCAGTTTTATGGAAGTTAAAAATAAAAGAAAACAAAAAATATCAAGAACCAAAAGTTGCAATAGAATGTTCAAATTCCAGACACGTCTGTAAAATTGAATAGAAACAACTTTTCTCATTCAACTTTTTTGAAATTCAAAATAAGTCAATTTTCATTGATTAATTTTAAAAAAATCAACTTTTGACATGTAGCGAAAGTCACGTGACTCCGAACAAGTAGGCCAATTTTCATCTTTTTTGAAGCAAAACTTAATGCCCAAGTTGAATTTCAAAATAAATTATTACCAAAACTATTTCCTATGTGAAGTCAACTTCATGAATAACAGTGTATATACTGTCTGTAGGTTAATCGAGGAGGTGGTACATTCATTTTACTTGGTTCTTTGGGATATATATATATATTCACAAAATAGAGAGAGTGAGAGAGAATATCTTTATTAGTGATATACCCCAAAAGGCCATTGACCAGTCTTTCAGCCCAGTTTACAAAATATAATGCACAAAGTAGGAATAATAATAATATTTCATTATCGATTTAAAAAAAAGAAAAAAAAGTTTATTGCTTGCTATCCTGATTCACATAATATAATGAAAAATTATCTAAAATTTGATTAACATAAATGTATTAGTGAGATAAATGGACCAGTTGAGTGACTCTTTCTCATGTGGTTTTCAATATCAGATGTGATATTTCATAGACTTCAAAGAAAGCTAGAATGCTGTGAAAAATTCTGCAGAATGAAACTTAGGTGGACCCTCAGGTGGACCATGATAATAATTCTTAAACACTAATTTTCAATATTCAGTACCCAAGTTATCAAAAATGTGATGTAGATCAACATATGTGTATCTGAAAAAGACAATTAACATGTCTAAGGTTTTTTACCATTGGTCCTATATTAATGAATTTGTTCCAACCTTTACTTGCTCCCTGTATATATCAACCTATCAGTGTCAAGACTTTTTAGAAGCATTTTTATCAAATTAATAGGTACCTAGATCATTTTTTGAAAGTAACAGCCTTATTCTCTTATAAAGGGTGGGCATCAGTTATGAGATTTGAAAATGAATAAGCAAAATGAATAATTTTAAAAGAATTGCTGCAGCTCCTGATGGTAATTTCATCTTCCACATATTTGCAATGAAAATAATATTCCTTCATCTGCTTTAGTTTATAAATTCAAATATCTTCAGCAATAGATAAAGAAAGATAAATGCAACCACCAGTAAAGTACTTTTATGTTCTGTAGTAGGATTGGATTTTTTTTTGGGATCTGCTCTCCCCAATACATTTGTGAATTAAATTTAAAAAATATATATGAAAATCAAATACTTAATAGGAGATATTGTGTTTTTTTACTTTTGTTATGAATCTTAATGGAATAATAAAAAATAAAATATACCTTCAGTTTCCATTTCACTGCTGGTATCCATAGATAGTTCATGTGAAAGTTCAGTTAGGGTTTGGAAGTCGCTACTAATTAAATTTGTAATATTTATATTATCACCAGAGCTATCACTGAGTGAGGCATTTTCCCCACTAATACCTGCCACCAGTGTTTCTGCATCTTCTGCAGACATTGAACCTGAAAAAAAATATATATATATTCATCAATGCTGCAGTGTAATTTCTTCTGGTAGCATCCCCACATCAGCAAAGATCAATTTGGACTTCATAAGTTATAATTGGACATTATTTTAATGACTTGAAGAATGATCTTCACTTCCAGTATTCAAAAATAATCTTCTAACATACATGAGACGCCTATATTGCATATTCAAAAATTATATTCACATATTTATGAAACATTACACTACGCCAATTTTATATCTGATTGAACCTTAAAATACGATAATATGTTATACTTACTTTTTTCAGAAAAAGACATATACTATAAATTCAAACTAAATTTTTTTGATAATAAAGAAGTTTTTCAATTCAAAACATCTAATCAAATTTGACAGATCACGTGACCATGGAAGCGCTTCAATATTACCACCAGTCCGAAGAAACTCCCTAAATCAGTTGTGCCCGCGACATTTAAAATTCAGATGAACTTTTGGATACTTTCTTAACGTAAATTTTATGAAGTTATTTGAATTAGAAAAAAAAAATATTTATATGATATTTTCCAGTTACAAATTCATGTGATATTCCAATTACTGGGCAATTTCTGTGGATTTATTTGAACAATTGAAGAAAAATTGACAGTTAAGTATATTTTTGAAATGGAATGTCAAAAGATAAAATAATTTGTGGAAATTCACAAAAACATGGAAAATGCTTGCAAGCCCCCCATTGAGGAAAAACAATACACATATCCACGGATCACAGAGACTAACATAAAAGGTGATAATGCGAGAGGAGAGGTGAGACAAGTAGATTGTGGAAAAAATAAAAATGGGTTTGGCTTCCTGCGAAAATCTGACGAGCCTCCACCGCCGCCCCCGCTATTGGTGAGTAAATGAAAATTTAGGATAGAATCTGATTTTAATGATTGCCGCCACTCATATCGTTCATTTGAGGCAGCTTCAATAAATACATCTATATATATTCATTGCTATATAGGTATATACAGTGTGATAGATATTCACGTAACCAGTTAGAAAACGCGACGTGGGATTTTGCGGGACGAGCGAAGTGCGAGATTCCGCAAAACACAAAGTTACACAAAATACGTTTTCGAGCATGTTACGGTCAATATTGTTTCTAATTTTGATGGAAAATTTCGCTTGAACAGAAATAATGATCAGTTCTACATAAGTTCTACCGCTTATGGTAAAAGAATAGTATGCAACTTGACTTCGCCCGTCACTTTGAAATGTCGATCAAATAATATGATTACAAATCAGAGATGAAATTCACGAAATAGAGTCATTTTGATATTGTCATTAGATAAAAATGGCTGATTCAAGTTCGGTTTTCCCAAGTGATACCGAGGAAACAGCTCAAAATGCACTATTCTCTTCGTCCATCTATCTTTTCATTACGTAACTAGTGTTGAAATGAACATTTCTTTACGCACCTGCTGGTTACGTAAAGAAAGAAGTTTGAAACCTCCGGTTAGTTTTGAAAAGGTTCTAATTATATGTCAAGATTAGGAAAATATAATGATAATTCGATGTTGGTAACACAAAAAAGAAGGAATGGAGAACAAGACAATACTTACATTTTACATTGAGATTGAGACTGGGGTCTGCAGACAGTTTTCACACTCTACATCCAATATTCTGGCTCCCAACATAACGTAATAATATAAGGAAAGTAAACATCCTTTCTGTTCACCGAACCGAACTGTGCCCAAATGAACTTTCTTCCTGAAAGATATATTTTTCAAAAAATTACTTGAGAGACTTTTTCTGAATAATCTAACCTAACCCCACCTAAATGAACCATTCTATATTCTTCTGAAAATTCACAGTGTTTGCACTGATGCGCTTTTGTTTCGCCCAAACTTGACGGAAATATACAATTGAGAATCGCAATATAAGGTTCTTCTTTTCATCTCATTCTAATAGATGTCACTGTACGAACTCACTTCAAAATAGAAATGGACACTCGAATGAGAGGATTTCATTATGATTGTTGTTATTTGGTACGATGGCCATTAAAAATATGACGATATCAACGCCTCTAACGGATTTTCTACGAACGAACCTCGAGTGTAGTCAGTTTTTGACCATTGTGGCAACCAGCCTTGACTGAGAACACCAAATTCTTAATGGCGCCGTACATTATGCTTTTTACCAGCAAGTTCGATGCAATGCAATTTTGAATCGAACAATGCGCATGCGTCTATGATATTTCACGGCAAGTTCCATGCAAGTTTCGTAATAGAACCAGTCCTATTTTTCCTGCAATTTCAAGGCAAGTTTAGTAAAATTTGTAGTAATATTCATCGTAGCATCTTGATAAAATACAAATTTTCTCCATAACGTGGCCTGAAACACCAAATAACCTCGAAAAGTATATTGAAGGCACAAAAATCCTGAAAATAGTGAATATGAACGAGAAAATATGACACAAATATCTCAATGTACGGCGACTTGCAATAAATTGAGAAAATTGCGAGAAAATTGCATTGCCTCAAACTTGCGGAGAAATATCATAATGTACGGCGCCCTTTATAAACATATCAGTCTCAAGCCAGAATATCGGATGTAGTGTTGTGGGAACTGTCTGCAGGCACTCATGGAGTATTTTCCATTCCTTCTCATTTTTTGTTGTGTCATCAATCAATACTTTATATTAGAGATTGAAGTTGATATAAAGTTCATTGATTATATCTGACAGAAGCGACAGGCTGTGTCAAGTCTGTGGTTTGACCAGGCACGTCATACGTTCAGTATGAAGTCTGACCATCAGTTTGACCAACCAGCTGATTGGGAATATTGGTCACGTTTCAAACCTGCCCGCAAATTACCACGTTACTTTTGATGGGAGTCGGGTCAATCATTGACCGTCAGCCTCAGTTAGTCAGGTTTACTAAAATTGTTACGTTACTGGCATGAGACGTTTCGCACCGTCAGCTGTCATTCGTCATTCTCGAGTCTCGAAATCTTGATTTCTTGGGAAAAAAATCAAGTGATCTATTACGCCGGTGTGTGGTGACTGGTGAGTGGTGAGCAGACGAAGAAATTTTAATTGTAGACGATAGTTTATATTCAATTAAAATACCTCTTCATATTCTATCGCCAGTACATTTAAACCCTGAAAAAAGTGAGTTATTAGATTTATGAGTTTATGACCGTAGAACATTCATTTGGTTTTGTGGTTCAGAAATCCTGCCCTCCTTGAAAGTGTGAAAAAGTTTTACAAAATGTATCTATCTACCTATCATGTAATTCATGTATCCTAGTGGGCTAGAATGAAAATTTATTCGATTGTTCATGTATGAATTGTTTATTTTTTATACTTGTTCGTCGAACTTTCTCTGTAGGTCAGCTAAATAAGTATACCTTATCGTTATGTAAGATTTTAGATTTTAGGTAAATGGAGCACATTGATTTTTCGCGAACATTCTCAGAAAACCAATATTGTGATGGCAAAATGAATAAAATGATATTGAAACATTACTCCAATGAAGGTAGAAGATCTTAAGCAATAATTGGTCATTATATATAGATGAATTCCTCATTGGGGGTTATACAGAAATTTTACAGCCATGTTGCAACATTGTGTGTGGCATTGCATTTTGATTGACAGGGTGAGCATGATGTGATGTTGAGTTGAGAGTTGAGAGACTGTTGAGTGTTAAAACTGATGTATGTGGCATAAGCGCCGCAGGCGACAATTTATTCAAGGTCAAATGCCTTTAAATTGATAGGTTTGTCAGCAGGTTTTATAATTTCAAATTCAGTTGAAAATTTCACACCCAACATTTTCGATCAATTTAAAGCCTGTTTTTCATATCGATACCATAGCAACTAAACATTTCTTGGAAATTTTTTCCTCCTTGGTAGACGGAGCATAAAATTACACTGGACATTTTTTCTTTTTGACGTTTATAGGTTAAATGACATTTTCATTCAACTTCAGATTATTTCTAGTTCATTCTATAAGTCAATAAATAAAAACATTTATCAACAGTTTACCATATAATATTATGTAGGTATACTTTCAAATTCCAAATTTACAAAAACATGTTGTTACTATATGTTATTAGTTCTTATACATTTCATCACAAACAACCATCAACATGTAAATTTTCTTACGGAATACCACTGAAGCACTGAAGCTTCAATTATTTCCGGAAATTTTTTAAAGAACAGGAATATTTTGAAAGTTCTCCCCAGTCAAAGACGAGGGAAAATTTTCTAAATATTCGTACATTTCCTACATTTCATCACAAACAACCATCAACATGTAAATTTTCTTACGGAATACCACTTAAGCTTCAATTATTTCCGGAAATTTTTTAAAGAACAGGAATATTTTGAAAGTTCTCCCCAGTCAAAGACGAGGGAAAATTTTCTAAATATTCGTACATTTCCTACATTTCATCACAAACAACCATCAACATGTAAATTTTCTTACGGAATACCACTTTAGCTTCAATTAATATCCGGGAATTTTTTCTCGAACACGAATATTTAGAAAATTCTACCTCGTCTTCCACTCGGGAGAACTCTCAGAATATTCGTGTTCTCTATAAAATTTCCGGAAATAATTGAAGCTCTTGTGATATTATATAAGTGAAAATTTAGTATTCTTAAAAGGCAACAAAGGTATAAATGTCCCGTTCACTTGTATCAAATAAAAAATGCTTGAGTTTGAATTTTATATTCCTAAAGGCACAAAAATCTAATTATAAATGTAAAGTTTACTTTGAACCCAGGGGTAAATCTCCAGGAAAAATGTGTACACCAGACTTCCAATTAACATAGACTTCCAAAGACTTCCAAAGACATCCAAAGACTTCCAAATACTTCCAAAGACTCCCAATGACTTCCAAAGACTTCCAAAGACATTCCAAGACTTCCAGAGACGTCCAAAAGTCCAAAGACTACCAAAGACATCCAAAGACTTCCAAAGACTTTCAAAGACATCCAAAGAATTCCAAAGACTTCCAACGGAGTGTACACCAGACTTCCAAGGAGATTTACCCCTCGCTTTGAACCGAAAAAATTCTTGGGTGTTAGAAAAAATGCTTGGGTGTAAGTCGGTAAGACAAATTGATGAATACATTAAATCACAATATTGTTATTGGTTTTTCACAGGAAGACTCATCCAAACTGCGACATTTCCACAGATTATAGATACTTTCCTGACAACGCAACTTTGAGAAAACATTACATGAACCATCAAAAATTTGTTTACAATTTTGGTTGTCATGCTTTCAAATGTTTTCGGTTTTGTCACTGGAAAAGTATAAGGCAAAACTTGTTTTCCGCTGTCAATAGCAAAATCACACCAGCTTACGGGATTTTTATATACATAAATTCAATAGTCAAGATAAAAAAAATTGCATCCTGCAGTTTTGTCATTTTTCAGCTTTTAGGAAGAAATAGATTAGATACTAGTTACCTGTTGAATGAAATAAGATTCATTTTGTGATTCTTGATGTTAATTTCGATTGAAACACTGAATTTTCTTTGATCCTCTAGGGAGGGGTAATGGGTTTGCGTTGTGCCCACATTTCGTTACTCCCTCATCGCGTTGTTCCCACATTTCGATATGCCCACATTTCGTTTGCCCCATTTTTCCATACACCCACATTCTCCGAATATACCCTACGGAGGCACTGTTGCCAAATACTATCCTATTTACCAGAATTCAATGAAACTGTCATTGTGGGCATATCGACACATTGCGTTACTACTACATTTCGTTACACCCACATTGCTTTATGCCCACATTTCGTTACGACTACATTGCGTTACACTTACATTGCGATACACCTACATTTCGATCGGCCTACATTTCGTTAGCCCCACATTTCTTTATTCCCACTTTCTCGGAACATACCCGAAGGATGCACGTTTGCCAGATGTGGGTGTAACACAATGGGCGTGCCCACAATGTCTAGTACACGAGTCTAGCTATAGCTATAATGGCTTCCTGAATTCCGAATACATAATATGAGGAAGGGATATATCCTTCCTGCATAAGAAAGGAGACTACTTTTTCTGAACATTCTAACCTTGTTCGGCCTAAATGAACCTCCTTACTAGGAAATATATTTTTCTGAATATTCCTCGAGAGAGCAAAAGAGACTATACTTCTTCAAAACAATCTAACCTAAATCAGCCTAAATCAACCTTTTTCCTAAAAAAGTATGTTTTTCGAAAAATTACGCATTAAGCACAGTATATGGCAACAGTGCATCCTCCGGGTATGTTCGGACACTTCGGGAATATGGAAATGTGGGGCTAACGAAATTTAATTCTGGTACATATATAGGATAGTATTTGGCAACACTGCCTCCTTCGGGTATGTTCAGAGACTGTGGGTGTATCGAAATGTGGGGCTAACGAAATGTGGGCATATCGAAATGTGGGAACAACGCCATGTGGGAGTAACAAAATGTGGATGTAACGACTCGCTCCTGGGGTAATTACCCCAATTACCCCCCCCCTCTTGTATACGCGCCTGGTATATGGAGTTGCGTGAGTGTGACCACTGTGACAGTGTGAGCATGGCCTGTTATTGTTTTTGGTTATCTGGGTTATCACTTATCCTCAGAGGTTATCCCCTAAAATCTTGTGAAATGATTAGATTGGAAAATTGTAATTATTGAAATCAAGTTGACTCAAACTAGCAAAACTCTTGAGGCATGGGCGCCGCAAGAATTTCTTTCAGGGGGGTGCTTGTGCATCTACGCACAATAAATACTATTAGCTGATGAAATATCAAATACCAAAGAAGCTAATTTATTACCCCATTCCCGAATTTTTTGCTCCCCCTTATCATAGAAAAATCTGTGGCTTTGTTAGCTTCGGCCGAACTTAGCAAAGCCATTTTTGAAAAACAATATTTTTTGAATATCTGATATAGTGAAAATGTAGTGCTCATTTTAGGCTAATCTATTACCCTATTCCCAATTTTCTTGCTCCTCTCTATCATAGAAAAATCTGTGGCTTTGCTAGCTTCGGCCGAACTCAGCAGAGCCATTTTTGAAAACATAGATTTTTCACCGATTTGATATATTGAGATTAATTGGCTAATTTTAGGCTAATTAATTACCCCATTTTCGATTTTTTTGCCTAACATTTCAAACAGAAAAAATACAAGACAATTTGTCGAAATATGCGTCATTCATTGTACATTATGTATTTCTATCAAAAGCATATTTTATGACGATTTCAAGTGTTAGTATTGATTGTGAGCTTGATAACTATCCCATTTTGGAATTTTTTGCTACATATTTTTCAAAAGAAACCTGTGCCTTTGCTGGCTTCGGGCGAACTCAGCAGAGCCATTTTTTAAAATAATATAGTTTTCACTGATTTGATATATGGATATCGAAGAGCTAATTCTAGGCTAATTATTCAACCTATTTTCGAGTTTTTTGCTCGATGGTTCAAGCAAAAAAAAACCAAAACGATTCGTTGAAATACGCGTTTTCAATACCGATGTATCAAATCGGTGAAATATATAATATTTTCAAAAATGGCTGCTGAGTTCGTTCGAAGCCAGCAAAGCCACAGGTTTGTTTTAAAAAATGTGCAGCAACAAATTCCAAAATGCAATAGTTATTGAGCTTATAATCAATACTACTATGTCTGGAAAAATCGTCATAAAATATGCTTTTGATAGATTTGCATAATGTATAGTGAATAAACGCGTATTTCGACGAATCGTTTTGTTTTTTTCTTGCTTGAAACATCGAGCAAAAATTCGAAAATAAGGTAATTAATTAGCCCAAAATTAGCTCTCCAATATCGATATATCAAATCAGTGAAAAATATATTATGTGCTAAGATTTTGCACAGACCTCTTGGGGACACCCTGTATGTTGAGAAATTGAGTGAAAAACGTTATCGCCACGATACATTTAAACGCCCTGTAGCTTCTCGAATAACTGCTACGTGTTGAAATTTTGAAATTTGGTTGGTAACAATATCAAGTAGGTACAACACCAAATTACCTTATACAGGGTGTTTCATTACTAATTGGAATAATTTCAGCTAAAAGATCCTGAGCTCAAAAAATGATTATTTAACCTAAATCACGTAGATAAAATTTGTCTCCTGTCTGAGTTACAGGGGGTTTTATTT